AAGGTAATTACTGTATGATCTTTATGAACAAATACCAAGTCTACAGAACACCATAGTTATCACAGTTAAGAATCTTGACCAATGAATGAAACATGTGTAAATAAATGTTACATTCTTTAGAACATACTCAAGTCCAAGAAAGAGGATTATTTCATGCCCTTTGATTAAATTCTATTTTTTAGAATTGAAAGTGAAAATAGATCAAGGGGAGTAATTGTGTAAGTCATTTATGAACAAAGTAATAACTTTGTTGTCTCCCTTTGATTAAATTCTATTTACAAAATCTGGATATTTCATCATCTTTAGTGACCTTGACCTTGTATATATTGACCTAAATTATATGAATCACAGCCATAGTCCTCATAATGACCATTTGTGTTACAATCCCTCAATAAATGATGACTAAATGGTCCATATACACATCTTCATATTTTTATCTGAACTTTGACCTCTATGTGTGACCTTGACCTTGACCAAAGGACCTGAATCTTGCACGCGACACTCCGCCTCACAATGGTGAACATTTGTGCCAAGTAATATTGAAATCCTTCTATACATGTGGAAGTTTTGCTCCGGACAAGCATTTTTCAATGAGCTCTAAGTGTGACCTTGACCTTTGACCTAGAGACCTGGTTCATGTGCGCGACACTGCTCCTCATAGTGGTGAACATTTATATGAAGTTTCATTAAAATCCCTCCATACATGTAGGAGATATGCTCCGGACAAAATTGGACGCCGCCCGCCCCGCCCGCCCGCCAGGGGCGTTCCCATAATACGTCCCGTTTTTCAAACGGACGTATAAAAACAAAGACCCTCGGGGCGGAGCCAATTTTGACCCCAATTTGAACAATCTCGGTAAAAATCTATCAGACATTGCCTTATGCAAAATATCTATGCTCTAGGCCTTGTGTGTCTTTACAAGAAGATTTTTTAAATTTATTCTTATAATTCCTTTTGGTTGCCATGGCAACCAGATTTCTGCATGGAATGAAATTCTTTGAACAACTTTGGTAGCCCTTCACCCAAGGATCAATCCTGCCAAGTTTGGTTGAAATTGGACTAGTGGTTTTTCACAAGAAGACTTTTTAAGTTCACTATATAATATATAGAACACACAAACACACACACAGTTGTATCGTTATATGCCACCGCACCGCAGATGCTGCGGTGGCATAAAAACTGGAATTACACGGAATTAAGTTCTGGCTTCCATTAACTTTATATGTCCCTTTCATTTTGACGAACAGGTCTAGCAGTACTATAAAACCTGTTCGCTGAAGTCACTTTAGCTACACAGAATTATGCGAATCAAGCACATGTTAGTGACATGGTACACTGATTTTATTGCCCGCGCAATATTCGAAGATGGCAGACACTGCGTCTTACAGTTGTATCAACTGATGATAAGGGGCGTCCGTGGCCGAGTGGTTAAGGTCGTTGACTTCAAACCACTTGCCCCTCACCGCTGTGGGTTCGAATCCCGACAGGGACTTTGGATTCTTTCATGTGAGGAAGCTATCCAGCTAGCTTACGGAACGTCGGTGGTTCTACTCAGGTGCCCGTTCGTGCCTGAAATAATGCACGGAAGGGCACCTGAGGTCTTCCTCCACCAGTAAAAAGCTAGAACGTCGCGATATGACCTATACTGTGTCGATGTGACGTAAAACCCAAAACAAAACAAAACAAAACAAAAACTGATGATAATTATTGTCTTCCAAATAAAGACATAATGTCAAATATTTTATCTACCTGCTATCATTTATTTTTCTTTGTCGTTGAACAGGAATGATATATTGAATCGAAAACAAAACACTGTTGTAGATTGAAAATGGCTCTTCTTCCCTGAATGAAAATTTTTAGCTTATGCCAACTAAAAGATAACCTAAATTAGTTTTTGAAAAATGCATGGTAGCAAGTCCGTTTTACCCCCCAGACAATGGGATGTACTATTCTCCGGTCTCCTATCGGTAATTCCCGGTCTCTCCCGGTTTATTTTGACCGGGATTTACTAGAGGCCGGCGAATAGTATCACACGTTTATTGTTAGTCTCTCCTGGTTTTGGAGTAGATATTTTATTTGAAATCGTAACAAATAAATAAGTTTTTTTTCCAAAATTGAATGTTTGTCACTTAGTTTGGTTACAATTATAAATTAACACAGATCATCACTCAAGTTTATTAATTTATTATTATACAAAAACTTTCAATTCCAACTTTCAATTCCAAAAATAACAAAAGCACTTTTCATTTTATTTATGTCTGATAAAAACAATAAATACATACAACAATTGAATAAGAAGGTACATTTTTATGGTATTAATATGACACAATCAACTTTGAAATATTTTATTTTATTTGTTATTCGCGTAGAGTAAAGAGATTCTAAGTTACAAATTGGATTTTATGAATTATTTTCCTGTAAAGTTTCATCATCCTAGGTCAAATACATGTACTTTTTGAGTTACGTGAAACACAAGTTGACAATTGCAAATTTTTACTAAGTCAAGGGCAATTACTCTACAAATGCTGAATAAATCAACACGCAAACACCCAGGTGCTCAACTACACATGCTGAACATATTCCTATAAAGTTTTATGACTCTAGGTCAAATACTTTTGAGCTACATGCGACTCAAAAGAGAAAGGAATGACAGATGGATGGTGTCAAAAGATCAAAGCAAACTCAAGTAATTATGTGAAAACTGAATTTCTTTTTTTAAGCCACAGTGACCTTAACCTTGTCCACAGACACCTGGGTAGCAATCCCAAGTTGCGTCTTGATAAAAGCTACAACATACTAAATTTGGTGTCAATAGGTCTAAGCAAACTCAAGTTATTATGCGGAAGTTTGAATTTCAATTTTTAGTAACATTGACTTTGATCACAGATTTCTGGGTAGCAATCCCAAGATGTGCCCTGATATAAGCTACCCGCGCACCAAATCTGCTGTCAATAGGTCACAACTAAATCAAGTAGTTGAGCAGAAACTGAATTTCTTTTTTTTAGCAATAAGATATTGACCTTAATCATAGTCACCTGCGTAGTTATCCCCAGTAGCATCTTGATATAAGCTACTCATAAACCCAGTTTGGTGTCAATAGGCCAAAGCAAACAAGTTACTGAGCTGAAACTGAATATCTACTTTTAAATAAAAGTGACCTTGATCATAGACACCTGGGTAGCAATCCCAAGCTGCCTCTTGATATAAGCTACCCACACACCAAGTTTGGTGTCAATAGGCTAAATTTCTATTTTTAGTAACAGTGACCTTGACCTTGATCACAGACACATTTATAGCATTTTCAAATAGCGTCTTGATATCAGCTACCAACACACCAAGTTTGGTGTCAATAGGTCAAAGCAAACTGAAGTGATTATGTGAAAACTGAATTTCTATTTTTAGTAATGGTAGCATTGACCTAAATCACAGATATCTAGATAGCAATTATCCTATGCTGCCTCTTGATATAAGCTACCAATACAACAAGCTGGGTGTCAATAGGCCAAAGCAAACTCAAGTTATTAAGCAGAAATTGAACTTCTATTTTAAGCCACATTGACCTTGACATCAGACACCTAGGTAGCAACCACAAGCTGCCTCTTAATATAAGCTACCCATATACAATAGGCCAAAGCAAACTCAAGTTACTGAGCTGAAACAGAATTTCTATTTTAAGTAACAGTTACCTTGACCACTGACACCTAGGTAGCAATTACAAGATGCCTCTTGATGTAAGCTACTTAGACACTAAGTTTGGTGTCAATAGGCCAAAAAAAACTTAAGTTATTGAGCTGAAAAGGATTTTCTATTTTAAGTAACAGTGACCTTGACCTTGATCAAGGACACCTGGGTAGCAATCTTAAGCTGCCTTTTGGTATTAGCTACCCATACACTAAGTTAAGTGTTTGTTTGTCTCTTTGTTTGGGTTTACGTGATGCCGACACAGAATACATCATATGGCGACCTTCCAGCTTTACTGGTGGAGGAAAACCTCAGGTGCCCTTCCATGCAATGTTTCAGGTACGAATGGGGAGTAGAACCACCAACATTCCGTAAGCTAGCTGGATAGCTTCCTCACATGAAAGAATCCAATGTCCCTGTCGGGATTGGAACCCACAGAGTCCCAGTGGTTTAAAGTCAATGACCTTAACCACTCGGCCACAGATGCCAAGTTTTGTGTCAATAGGCCAAAGCAAACTCAAGTTATTGAGCAGAAACTCCATTTTTATTTTAGTAACAGTGACCTTGACCTTGGTCACAGACACCTGGGTAGTAACGCCAAGCTGCCTCTTGATGTAAGCAACATACACACTAAGTGTCACAAGTAGAGATGTCTTAGGGAGCATGGTGTCAAGGGGTTGGGCTGTCAAGGGATTGGGTACTCATAAAGTCCAAGACTCACTCCAGGTCAAATACTTTTTCAGCTATGCACAACACAAATTTTTAGTAAGTCAAGGGCAATAACTCTGACAAGACAGAATAAATCCACAAGCAAAACCCTAGGTGAACAACTTCACATGCTGAGCAACATTCCTGTACAGTTTCATGACCCTAGGTCAAATACTTTTTGAGCTACGTGGGACACAAGTAGAAAATCACAAATTTTTACTAAGTCAAGGGCAATAACTGTACAAATACTGAATAAATTCACAAGCAAACACCCAGGTGCACAACTAACAACTACACATGCTAACCAATATTCCTTTTAAGTTTCATGACTCTAGGTCAAACAATTTTTGATAATTTTTGAGCTAAGTGCAAATCATCAACATGAGAACGGACAGACGCATAAGTGTAAATCTACCCCCACCCCAATAAAAAGAAATATTTGGGTTAAAAAAATATTTATCTACCCTACCAAAACTGGCATCAGTCGCAAGAGTGGAAACTAAGATAACTTTAAGGCTGGCCTTATTGTCTTCAGTGTTCAAATAAACTCTTCTTAATCCAATGAATCATAATATCACATATATAATATAACATTGTTTTGTATACTCACAATTCTGCCATCACCACTACCAATATCCAACAAGTTCCCTTTTCTCCCTTTTAAAGCTCTCATAACATTGCTAACTTGGCTAGTTGTAGCCGGTACAAATGGTAAACATACACGTCTAAATGCTGGTGCAACAAAAGGTATAGTTAATGAATAAACTCCAACAACAATAGTTCCTGATACTCCTGCTACAACAATACTCTGTGTTGTCCATGGGCGTTTTGCTCTTACAGGTTCTGACCGAAAAAGAAAAAAAGGTAATCCTAAGACACAAAGAAAATACCACATATCTGGTCTAAAATACCTCAGATCAGGTTTTTTCATGAGTATCTAATTTTAATACAAGAGCGATCAGTGATCACATGTGTCGCCTCATGATGGTCAATTTCGTGTTCGGACAAGTTTTGTGACAGACGGACAGACAGATGGACAGTGCACAACTAGACTTGGTACTGATCATTCCTGTAAAGTTTGGATGAAATTGCACCAGTAGTTTATGAGGAGTAGCACAAGTAGGACAAGCTTTTGTGTATCTGGCAACACACAGAAAAAAACACCTTTTTATCAAAGGGCCATAACTCGGCCAAAATCATTCAACCGGAAAACCCGTGCAATATGCGCAAGGACTTGAGCTACAGATCAATCCTGTAAAGTTTCATTGAAATTGCATTAGTGGTATAAGAGTAGTCCGGACAAACTTTAAAAATGAAAATTATGAAAGGGCCATAACTCTGACAAAAATCATTGAACCGGAAAATTCTGACAATATGCACAACTAGACTTGACTGATCAATCCTGTAAAGTTTGGATGAAATTGCACCAGTAGTTTATGAGGAGTAGTCCGGACAAGCTTTTGTGTATCTGGCAACACACAGAAAAAACACCTTTTTTATGAAAGGGCCATAACTCGGCCAAAAATCATTCAACCGAAAAACCCGTGCAATATGCGCAAGGACTTGAGCTACAGATCAATCCTGTAAAGTTTCATTGAAATTGCGTTAGTGGTATAAGAGAAGTAGTCCGGACAAACTCTAAAAATAAAAATTATTAAAGGGCCATAACCCTGACAAAAATCATTGAACCGGAAAATGCTGACAATATGCACAACTAGACTTGGTACTGATCATTCCTGTAAAGTTTGGATGAAATTGCACAAGTAGTTTATGAGGAGTAGTCCGGACAAGTTTTGTGACGGACAGACAGACGGACGGACAGACGACGGAGAAGTGATCCCTATATGTCGCCACTACTCCGTAGAGGGGACAAAAAAAATAATAATAACAAGCAATTATCATAGTATTGCAAGCAATCCCTAACTGGTTAGGTCCCTACAGGTTTGAACCCCAGCAACATTGTGAAGTATAATTGGCCATTCAATTATGCCACTGAATGAATGAATGGCATGATTTAAGTTCTAAGTTTGACTGTATCATAGTTATGTCACATTATGTGTTTAGGTTTTGGTAATATGTTGACTTTTCCTGCCTAGTAAGGGAATTATGTTTATACAAAAGATAATCAAAAGGTCCAATTTTCTCAGGATGAATAAGTATAACTAATATTTCAACTTTTCTCTATAATTATTAAGTAAATTTGTTAAAAAAGTTCTTTAAAAGTGATCTCAGGAAACAATTTTCATGAACAGACATGCTAGACTTATAAACCTTGTCGTTGGAAATTGAAGTAAATCCTATAAGGAATGAAAAAGTTGGAGTAAAAAGTACCAATTTCTCGAAAAATATCTATGTTCAAGGGTGACATGTTTCTGGAAATAGTCTTGCTAGAGTATTGAACCTTCTTAAAAATGATTTGAGTGATAATAAGATACATATATATGAAGTTTGAAGTAGATACATTAAGAAATAAAGAAGTTATTTTAAAACAAGAGGGCCATGATGGCCCTGAGGTCGCTCACCTGTATATAGACCCCCCCCCCCCCCCGGGCCAATTTTTACCCAAGGGCTTTTAATTGAACAGACTTGGTAGACACCCATAAGAAGATGTTTCATGCTAAACATCTAAGTTCTAGCTCATAGGGTTTTTTAAAAGAAGATTTTTAAGTTTTTACTATACACATATAGTTAAAAACAATGACAACCCTGGGGCAGGGCCAGTTTTGACCCCCGGGCTTTTATTTGAACAAACTTTGTAGATATTTACTTAAAAATGTTTCATGTATAATATCTAAACTCAAGCTATTTGGGTTTTTTCAAAGAAGATTTTTAAGTTTTTGCTATACACATATAAGGAAAATCAATGACCCCCGGGGCGGGCCAGTTTTGACCCCAGGGCTTTTATTTGAACATACTTGGTAGACACCCATTAGAACATGTTTCATGCTAAATATCTTAGCTCTAGCTCTTTGAGTTCTTTAAAAGAAGATTTTTTAAGTTTTTACTATATGCATATAGGGAAAATCAATGACCCCCTGGGGCGGGGCCAATTTTGACCCCAGGGCTTTTATTTGAACAAACTTGGTAGACACTCATTAGAAGATGTTTCATGCTAAATATCTTAGCTCTAGCTCTTTGGGTTCTTTAAAAGAAGATTTTTTAAGTTTTTACTATATGCATATAGGGAAAATCTATGACCCCCTGGGACAGGGCCAATTTTGACCCCAGGGCTTTTATTTGAACAAACTTGGTAGACATTCACTAGAAGATGTTTCATGTCAAATATCTAAGCTCTAGCTCTTACGGTTCTTTAAAAGAAGATTTTTTAAGTTTTTACTATATGCATATAGGGAAAATCAATGACCCCCCCGGGCCGTGGGCCAATTTTGACCCCAGGGCTTTTATTTGAACAAACTTGGTAGACACTCACTAGAAGATGTTTCATGCCAAATATCTTAGCTCTAGCTCTTTGGGTTCTTTAAAAGAAGATTTTAAGTTTTTACTATATGCATATAGGGAAAATCAATGACCCCCTGGGGCCGGGCCAATTTTGACCCTAGGGCTTTTATTTGAACAAACTTGGTAGACACTCATTAGAAGATGTTTCATGCCAAATATCTAAGCTCTAGCTCTTACGGTTCTTTAAAAGAAGATATTTAAAGATTTTTCTTTCGGTTGCCATGGCAACCAGAGTTCTGCATGAAATGGAATTCTTTGAACAATCTTGATAGAGCTTCATACAAAGAGTATTCCTGCCAAGTTTCATTAACATTGGCCTTGCGGTAACATAGAAGATGTCCTTAGAATATTTAAAATGTGGACGGACGACAGACGACGGACGCCATTTGGTTGGCCATCCTAAAAGCTCACCTGCACTTTGTGCAAGGTGAGCTAATAAAAACAACATTTTTTCATGAAAATTCTTAGTTGAAGGGAGGTAATTCTGATATTTTTTGTTCTAGAGTTGTAAACCTTGTCAGATATCATGTGGTTGATGACCAGAAACTTATATTTGAAACCTTAAGAAATAAAGAACTTATATTGAAAAAGTGTAAAAACTAGAACCACAAATCTTGACGAGGTTGCCAACGTATTGTAAGTATGACAGCTCTCAATATACTCCCTATAGTCAAGTTTAAAATCATGTGTATAATCTCTGTACAGTCATCTATCCATATTTTAAGTTTCATAAAAATATTTTCAGTACTTTTTGCATTATCACTGGATCCAGTTTATGTGTTAAATTTGCCATATTTTCAGTCTATTTGTTGCCATAGCAACCACAGTTTTCAACACAGGCAGAAAAGAACAAGAACCGGTTGAACTGGGTGATGCTCCCCGAGAAGGTTTTGGACACAGGAAAGTATAAAAAAATGAACAAAGGTCAAAAACATCAAATTAGGCAAGGCAGAGTTATGGTTTTTTGCACTGCATTGCTATTCAATGAGATCTATCTATCTATGAGGTTTCTCGATGATATCTCTTATAGTTTCAGAGTTATGTCCCGGGTAAAATTCAAAGTGTAACAAGAGCCACCGACGGGCGGGGGCAACGCTCGACTTTTTCCTTTCTCTAAAAGCAAAAAAAGAAATGTTTGAACAAAATATTAACGTTTCTTTTTTATAAATTTAATCAGTCTGTCTTGTCACATTAGTTTTGTCTATATATTTTGTATATATAAATATACTAATTTATATATATATATTTATATAAATAGAAACACGCAATTCTATAAATAGAAAATTCTATAAATAGAAATACGCAATTCTATAAATAGAAACACGCAATTCTTTAAATAGAAAATTCTATAAATAGATACATGTGGTATCACATGGTGGTGACATGTGGTGACACGTGGTGACATGTGGTGGTGTCACGTCATGTCACGTGGTGGTGACACATGGTGACATGTGGTGTCACGTGGTGGTGTAATGTGGTGTCACATGGTGGTGACATGTTGTGTCACGTGGTGACATGTGGTATCATGTGGTGGTGTCACGTGGTGGTGACACATGGTGGCGGTGACAATTGGTGGTGGTGACACGTAATGGTGGTGACACGTTTTGTTGTTGTTGATGATGATGATGATGATGATATATATACACACACACACACACACCAATAAATATATAAGGTCATTTAATGCATAAATCTGAGAAAATTCAGTAATTTAACCTTCAAGGTCAAGGTCATTAAAGAGCCCAAGTGTTTGATAAACAACAAGGTCTTGTCCTTTTGAAGTATGTTCTGTTATAATATGAAGTTGATCCCTTCAATAATAGCAAACTTACAGCCAGTTACAGCCAAAACAATGAAAATTTCAATAATTTGAACTTCAAAGTCAAGGTCAATAACGAGTGAAGGTCAAGGTCTGCCTGGTTATTTTTAAGGGTTATCCTTGAAGATTATTATGTTCAAGTTTGAAGACAATCCATTCAAAAATAACAAAGTTACAGCCAATAATAGCCAAAAAAATGAAAATTTCAATAATTTGACCTTCAAAGTCAAGGTCATTTATGAGTGAAGGTCAAGGTCTGTCTAATTATATTTAAGGGATATCCTTGAAGATTATTATGTTTAAGTTTGAAGACAATCCATTCAAAAGTAACAAAGTTACAGCCACGAACAGCATGAACAAGCAAAATTTGGACTTTTAACCTTGAAGGTCAAGGTCATTTTTGGATGAAGGTCAAGGTTAGTGTGGTCTACTGAAAGGTCTTGTCCCAAGGGTTGTTGTGGCCAAGTATGAAGACAATACACCAAGAAATAAAAAAAGTTATGATCCAGGTACAAGTTTGCGACGGCAACAGCAAAGCCGCCGCGACTATAGCAATACCTTTACTTTTAAAAAAAAAAAAAAAAAAAAGTCGAGCTAAAAATGAACAAAGGTCAATTACTCCAAAATTAGACAAGCCTGTGTTAAGGTTCTTTAGCATTGCAGTTCTATCCAATTAGATCTATCTACCTACAAAGTTTCATGTTGATATCTCTTATACTTTTAGAGTTATGTCCCGGACAAAGTTCAAAGTGTAAAAATAAACAAAGGGCAATAACTTCAAAATAAGGCAAGACAGAGTGATGGTTCTTTATCAATGCACTTAAATGAGACCTATCTACCTAAAAGTTTAATGTTGATATCTCTTATAATTTTAGAGTAATGTCCCGAAAAAAGTTCAACGTGTCAAAATAAACAAAGGGCAATAACTTCAAAATAAGGCAGGGCAGAGTTATTTTTCTTTAGCACTGCACTTTTACCCAATAAAACCTCTCTACCTGCAAAGTTTCATGTTGATATCTCTTATACTTTTAGAGTTATATCCCTGACAAAGTTCAAAGTGTAAAAATAAACAAAGGGCAATAATTCAAAAATAAGGCAAGGCAGAGTTATGGTTCTTGTGCACTGCAAACCTACTCAATGAGATCTATCTATGTGCAAAGTTTCATGCTGATACCTCTTTTAGTTTTAGAGTTATGTCCCGGACAAAGTTCAAAAATTAAAAATAAACAAAGGGCAATAATTCAAGTATTAGGCAAGACAGAGTTATGGTTCTTGTGCACACTGCACACCTACTCAATGAGATCCATCTACCTACAAAGTTTCATGTTGATATCTCTTATACTTTTAGAGTTATGTCCCGGACAATGTTCAAAGTGTTAAAATAAACAAAGGGCAATAATTCAAAAACTAGGCAAGGCAGAGTTACGGTTCTTGTGCACTGCACACCTTATCAAAGAGATCTATCTACCGACAAAGTTTTATGTTTTACCTCTTATAGTTTTAAAGTTATGTCCCGGACAAAGTTCAAAGTGTAAAAATAAACAGAGGGCGATAATTCAAAAATTAGGCAAGGCTGAGTTACGGTTCTTGTGCACTGCACACCTACTCAATGAGCTCTATCTACCTACAAAGTTTCATGTTGATACCTCATGTTGTTTCAAAGTTATGTCCCGGACAAGAAAAGCAGACAGATGGACGGACAGACGGTGCGATTCTATTATGCCTCCCTTTGGGGGCATAAAAATATAAATATCAAAGCCGTAACACAGCATAATAAACAAATTCTAAGAAAAAATCTGCTAGTTAAAACAGGATAACTAGCAAAACTTACAAAACAATCACCATGCCTATCTCGGCCATGCTGCCTGAACAAGCGCTAGAATAACTATGATCGGATAGTGTGGATATTTGCCGTTCATCCGGAACGTAATAGTGACGTAATTTCTGTTTTTTAAAATGCGCTTGATTAAGTGAGTGTTAGAATAACATGCTATTGTATACATGTGAAGCCAGAGGCTTTATGAAAAATAGATATGATTAAGTGGGTAATTCCGTACAAAAAAATAAAGTATAGACACAAGTTTACACAGAAAATATCTCTATCTTATATTATGGAAATGCCACTACTGTGTTTAAATTTTATTGATTTTCATTATAAACAATTTCTATTTCGAAAAAAAATGGCAATAAATATTAAGGAACATACTATTTTTTTCAAACACATCAAGTTGTTTCACCTTAATTGGTAAAATAATGATAGAAAAATAGAAATATCATGTAATAGTGTTATGTACTTCATTTGGTGTAATTCCCCAGAGGTAAATCAGTAATGTATCAGAAAATGGTGTTTAGCTAGGTTTTCAAAAAGGTCAATAATATTGATAATCTATATTGTATTTTCTGATTGCAGATCAGGAAATACAATGCTGACATTCAATCTTCCCAACAATCCTAACAACATAAAGTAGTCTTCAAAACAGCTGAAAACTAGCGATGTAAAAGAAAGAAATATTTTTATTTTGTTACAAGTATCCAGCGAATTATAATGCATTCAAAGTTTAAAAGTAGCTCTGGCTTATAGAATTGTCAATAAATGCACAATCACAAATTACGCGGATGAATATCATTCTAATCAATGAAAATTGCTCGGCTATTTCCGTAAAGCTTCGGATTATTGTGATCGGAATTAAACGCCGCCTAAATGACCATTTTTTATTTAGACTTTCTGAAAAATAAATTAAGGATGTTGCCTCTAGGACAGGGACAAATTTAGGGCAGTCGACAATTGATAATAAATTTCTACAATAAGTAACGGTCTTATAAGTAAAGAACCCACGTAAACAAAGCACTATTTTAAGCTATACTTCAGGGCATATTTCACAAATAAATCTGACTGTCAAGTAAGTAGTAAAATATTATATACATGGACTGTTTTGCTAAATTATTTACATCAGTGTTAAACAACAGGTTTGTAACCGTGAACAAAATATCTCAAAATTAATAATATTACAAACCCTAATTTAGAATAACATGATTTGCTTCAGACTGTTTTCTCATAACTTCCCCGTGGTCCAGGGGTTACACGCTCGTTTAGGAAGTGAGAGGTCTAGGGTTCAAATCCCAATCTAGGCAACTCATGTTGTTTTTTTTCTTTGTTTTTTTTTTTTTTTCAAGTATTTTTAGCGATTTTAACATTCTTTCTTAAGAAATTAGCCATGATATGCAAAGACATACATGCCACATCTCCCGCCGAGAGACAAAATCCCCTGATTTTTGGCCTTGTCACCCATCTCCTGCTGTGGAGATTCCACAAATTCCACCGATTTTCAAAAATCCAACCATCAAAAAATTAAAAACATAATTGTTACAAATGAAACTAAATTTTACAATACACTATGTCTTGGTATTTTTAACATATTTTCAACTTTAAAATAAATCAGGTGCAAGTTGGTAATACCTCGGACATACTTCTAGAGCTGTGTATTGTCAGGGTAGAGGTGATACCATATGATTCCAGATGCAGACGAGCAATTCACAAACCGGTTTACGATACACCACTGAATAAATGTTTTATGTCAAATTATAATATTACATAAGACTTTATAATCCAGCCATTCAAATATATAGCAGAACACATTTACGAGGGATAATAATGCCCCCCCTTCGAAGAAGAGGGGGTTTATTGTTTTGCTAATGTCTGTCTGCTAACTGTCTCTCCGTCAGTAGACCACATGGTTTCCGCTAATTATCTTGAAAACTATTTATCACAAAGTCTTCTTATTTCACATATTGATTGGTCATAACTAGTAGATGACCCCTATTGATTTTGGGGTCACTAGGTCAAAGGTCAAGGGGGCTTAAAAATCAGAATGGTTTCCGCTCATTATCTTGGTTACAATTCATCACAACGTCTTCATATTTCACATACTGATTCGTCATAACTAGTAGATGACCCCTATTGATTCTGGGATCACAAAGTCAAAGGTCAAGGTCACAGGGTCCTTAAATGTCAGAATGGTTTCCGCTGATTATCTTGAAATGTATTCATCACTAAGTCTTCATATTTCACATAGTGATTGGTCATAACTAGTAGATGACCCCTATTGATTTTGGGGTCAAAGGTCAAGGTTACAGGGGCCTTGAATGGTATTATGATTTCAGCTTATTTTCTTAAAAGATAATTATCACAAAGTCTTCATATTTTACATAGTGATTGGTCATAACAAGCAGATGACTCGTATTGCTTTTGGGGTCATTAGTTCAAAGGTCCTGGCCACAGGGGCCTTAAATGTCAGAATGGTTTCCGCTTATTGAAAACTATTTATCACAAAGTCTTCATTTGTTTTCTTTTTTCCATAATTGAACACTTCAATGTACCAATTTATGGCAAGTTTCTATAACACAAGAGCTGTCGGTAGGACAGCAACGCTCGACTATTCTTAGTGCTTGATAGTAAAAAAAATGCTTGATAGAGTTACCTCCTCCTGTTTACAGGTTGGGGTCATGATGGTGAACAAGTGTGCAAAGTTTCAAAGCCATATGTCAATGGACTTTGAAAATATTTGAACTATTACAAAAACTTTAACGTAAATTCTAAGTCGAAAAAGGGGCATAATTCTGTCAAAATGCTTTTATAGAGTTACCTCCTCCTGTTTACAGGTTGGGGTCATGATGGTGAACAAGTGTGCAAAGTTTCAAAACCATATGTCAATGGACTTTGAAAATATTTGAACTATTACAAAAACTTTAATGTAAATTCTAAGTCGAAAAAGGGGCATAATTCTGTCAAAATGCTTGATAGAGTTACCTCCTCCTGTTTCCAGGTTGGGGTCATGATGGTGAACAAGTGTGCAAAGTTTCAAAGCCATATGTCAATGGACTTTGAAAATATTTGAACTATTACAAAAACTTTAACATAAGTGGTTACGCGGACGCCGACGCGGACGCCGACGCTCGGGTGACTGCAATAGCTCTACTTATTCTTATCGAATAGTCGAGCTAAAAATTACCAATAATGTGAGGCAAGGGCTAGAAAGGGGGGCATATGTGTCGTTCGACATTTCTTGTTTTATATTAAATTTCTTTACAAGTAAACATTATCAGGGTTTTCATTATTAACCGATTGGGGATCCAAAGTATCAGGTAAAATGCTATAAAAATGGGTTGTATTTTCAGCCTGTATATTAAAGTATCACCATTGAACCTTGTCAAAATTGGTTGTTTTCTTTGGAGCATCTTTTGCCTCACATAAAAATGAAAACCCTGCATTATGGTGCCTTTTCATGTTTGTAGTACCACCACTGGAACGTTTTACAGATTACTTTAGCTTCATCAATTTTAGAAAAGCCAAAGTATTTCCATACTTTTGACGAAAATTAGGCATCTTTGTACGGTAAACTATCTCTGTCCATTTTGCAGAAGAAAATACAGTATTTAGCATAATCATATAAATACATTTTTAAATTCAAGTCATAGAATTGAATATCAGAGCTTATGTTTATTGTTGATGCATCCGACTAAAATTTACTCGATTTGACTTCCTTGACTTGACATATAGTAGTGTGAGACCATCATTTGAAGAGATTGTGTCAGAGACCTGCTACAGGTTTCTGCAACATGGAAAAAACTAGAAAATTGATGATTTTTGGGAAAAAACGGATAAATTTAATGTTTTTTCCCTGGATTTTACGATAATTTCCAGTTTTTTTGGTTTTTTTATCAGTTTTTGTCGCATTTCTTTCTTTATTTTTGCCGGAGATGAAACAGCTCTGCTAAATAGACAAGTATTCGGATATCGACGGAAGTCGTGAGCTTTGCTTCCATCCGTTTTAACTATTCCACGATAATATGAAAAACCACGATAATACGAGAAACAGGGATATCTTTTTGCATAATTTAAAAATTACGACTGGTTTACGCTAAATGCTTAAAAAATCCCCCTATTTATGGTCCAAATCCCTAGTCCTATAACATAAGGCGTTTCCGTTAGTACTACGTACACTACAAGTGTACACACTGGAGTGTACGTAGTACTAACGGAAACGTCTTATGTTATAGGACTACCAAATCCCTAGTCTGGTTCCCTGCCTACATTTACTATGGAAAGTAGTATAAGGGGAAGGAACTCCAGACTACCAAATCCCCTGTTTTCTTAAAGACAAATCTATTTTGGTGGCTGGAAATATTGCATGTATGTGCAAGGATAAAGTGTGGCTACATGCAAGGATAAAGTGTGGCTGTCATAAAAAATGTACATAAATGACTTCATAATGCAAGTTAGAAACTCTGGTCATGCAAATTCCGTATGTATCAAACCAATATAGCAAAAAATTCTAATATCTATAATAATTGACCTTTTCGAAAACCTAGCCAAACACCGTTTTCCGGTACGTTACGGATATAGCTCTGGGCTGGGACATACGATAACGGGACGGGAAACACAGAGATTAGCGCTCCTGTGTGTTTTCGTCCAATCGGGAATCAGCGCCGCCATTTTACAAATTTAGTTCAAGGCGGAGGAAATGTTCGTCAAGAAAATTGATCGGTATGTTTACTTTATGGGGTTGAAGTCCTCGGAAAGTAAATAAAATAATTCTGTAAGTATCATGACATTGATCCGATGTATTTTTAACATGGTGTTTAAAGTTTCTAATGTGAAAACTGTGTTCTGTTGAAAGAATAAAAATCTCAATCGAACTGATGTTGTTGTGTTGATCGCCGTGAAAGGGTAATTTTTGTCTGCAAAACTTCGTTTAAAGAAGTAAATTACAAGAAAACTGGCAGAATATTTTGAAAGATCCTTTAAATATCTTTGGTTTAACATTAAGATTATGGAACTTTAGTGAGTTAAAGGGAAATTTTACGGGTTCCAATTTTATGAACTGTGACAAAAATCCGAAAAATAAAATGGCGGAATGCTAACGTGATGTACATTTTTTGTCCCGTAAATGAACGTTATATGTCAATTAAATTTGTCCCATGTTAGTATTTTTTTAGTAAAACATAGACATATTTATAGCAAGAGAGTAGAATTGGATCAATTATTTTGTATGATTTTTCATTATGCAGTGTCAAATTTCAACAATTTTTTGGTGAAATCTGAGACCAAACCATAAATTGATGAATTTGCAGTTCATGTTTTAGAAATAGGTAGGGTTTCTTTTTATTTTTGAAAACTATAATTTGTTATCTGAATGGAAAAAAAAAACATCTTTATTAAAAATTATAGATTCCTTAGTTGTGTCATTGGATATCATGAAGGATATCCTGTCATGGTGTCAATTGTTATTTGCACCTTTATAGTCTTTTATTTCTTTATTTTTTGTATAATAAATATCAATCTCAATTGCAGGTTTATCGAAGATTGAAAACTTTCCATCAGATGCTTTCTTCACAAACTTCTTTTTGCTTGAGAATACCAGTAATGATGAACAAAATACTGAGTGTAAGGTCACATTAGATACCATGAATTTGTCGATTCAGTTGGACACTCTGCAAATGAAGTTTATGCCATCCAGTTATCTTGATTTATGACAGTGTTGTAATCAGTGATTCACCAAGGATTAAAATATGTATTCGTGACACAGAGAAAATGAAGTTTGACCTACTTGTGCATTCATATATCTGATGAAACATTTTTTCAAAGCCGCATGCCTCCAGATGACCCAAAATATTCCAAAGAAATTACACTTGGAAAAAAAACATACTAAAACTTTAAGAAAAGTAAACAGATTAAAGATTCAAGTGATAATCTATATCTTATGTGCAATTAATGACTGTATTTTGCAGTATTTATCACCATATTTATACTGCGTTACTAACGCAGTAGGGGCCATTTATTAATTTTATGCATATTTTGACTTCTTTTTGGTAATTGATGTAGATTTCAATGTGTCAAATACTTTCTTTGTTCATTTCACAATATTTTACGCTTCAAAATTTTCTAAAAAATTAGGATGAATCTGGAGGCTTTTAGTAAAATTACAATGTTTTCATAGCGTTTTGGTATTTCATTGAAAAGTTATATAGAGGATATTTGTTTGTTTGTGTGTAAGATGAAATTTTATTTCATCGAGTGGGCTTTAAAAACAGTATTCTCACGAGTGGCGAAGCCACGAGTGAGAATACTGTTTTTAAAGTTCACGAGATGAAATAAAATTACATCTTACACAACAAACAGACAAATTTTCTTTTTATTTTATGCTTAAAAACAAGTTAAAACGAAATTTCCATAATTTTAACGTTAATATTAAAACTGTTTCCCCCATTGAGAGCCCCATTTATTCGGAATTTCTCATTAAAAAAAAGAAGTCTTGAGCTGAAAAATAAGTCCGCCAATCAACATTAAATGACGGTGATATTTATTAATTTTATTAAAAAAATATGAATGATCGCTTGTTTTGATAATAAAAACAAACAATTCTTGTAGGAGAAAAAGTCCAACCATCCATCCATATTTCTGTTGCTTAGTGCGAATTTATATTAGACCTGGCTTTGTAAATTGTAAGCGGCAGCCATTTTTTAAAGTTGTGTATTTCATAATAATTGTGTAAGATTCAGAGGGATATAATTTGGATTTGTTAGTCATACACATTTTTAAAAGAAAGAAAACTTATTTGAGGATTGTAACAGACAAAAAATAAGTGTTGACAGATGTGAAAACATTCAGAAAAGGAGCTAGGAAAATGGAAAACTTGGAAACCTGCTCAAGAACGCTGGGTTGATTTAACTTATTCTTCGAGTTATGGCTGTCAATGCTTTCAATTTTTCATAAAGCATACGGCAGTTATTGCTCGTAGGATACTTTAATATGCCCAAATGTCATCAAGAGCAGTTTTGCATGGGGAAGGAATGTATTTTTGAGACTGTCAAAATGAAACAAAAAAACGAAATTTGGTGATTGGAATTTCATGAATTTGAATGAATAGAAGTAAGTTTTCTTCTTTTTATTACTTTTGACATTTAAGTTATTAATCAATTTCAGTTTTGCTTTTTCTTTAAACAGCCTGACATTGTCAGAATTGTCAGCAAAAATAAAATTGAGGTACCACATGGGGAAAATCTTAAAAAAGTAGTTTCGTCATTGAAAAGAGTGAAATTATATTTTGATAATTTTCACTGTGAAATTACCAGATATAATTTTCACGGATAAATCAGTAATCCACTGAAAAGCATAAAATAAAATAAAGAATTCTCCATTATAATTATTAAACACACATGAATTTGTATGAAAATTCACAATAAAACATTCTGCGACAAAATATACACCTCTACTACTATTTAATTAAGTGGGTTTTTTTGGAGCATATCATCTCATTTTGAAAAAAATATGGATTATGTAACTATTGAATAATGATATATATCATCAATATTGTTTTTGCAATTCAAGATAACAACTATATAGCTTTATACCCTGAAATGAAAAGTTGGTATGCAACGAGTATTAGTGAAATATTTTGTACTCCAATTATGTTTACATTTATACAGCTAATATTCATAAGATGAAATAAATATTTAAAAGAAATCTTTTGTAATGTGTAATATTTTGATAGGGTGTTTTTTTTATCAACTAGGTAGTCCTTCATGCTGCCTAGCTTTTTAATAAAAGTATAAAAGACTTTTAATGAGTCAATGGTTCAGTTTAAAAATCACAGATATTGTCCACTGGTCTGATGCATATATATACATACAGAAATGTCACATGACAAATGGGTCGAAGCTGGAACTCTAACCATGGGTATATAGGTTGATGACCAGTATGCTTACAACTTCACCACAGTGGCCTTTGCAAATATGAATCTGTGTATTCATTTCATATATGAACATTGCATCTTAAATGCTATCTTTTTGAGTTATAATTTATAATTAAAACTGCCCAGCAAACACATGACGTTAAAATAACGTCGGATTAATGTTAGATTTTGGTCACGACGTCGGCGACCAAAATACGACGTAAATCTGACGTTAAAATACCGATGTCTAATAGACGTTTCTTTTTGACGTCGTACTAACACCAGGTTCTGGTCGGTGTCCTGACGGTAGGTAAAAAAATAACAAAAAATAATCCTTATTCGATCGCTGTTATAATCATTTAAACTTTTTTTCAAATGTTATTTGGATTACAAATGAAATGTTCTTATATAAATACAGACCAAGATCGCGGCGCTGCAACCTAATAAAACATATAGAAGGTGGCGCTGTATATAGCGCAAGTTACATGTGTTATTGTTATGAAATCTATTTATAGCCACAGATCTGTTTACAAGTTCCAATCATTTAACGTTATAATATTTTCAATTGTGGTACATTATATGTATCAAAATCACGAGTTTTTTAATAGTGCTTTAACATTTAATCATAGTGACAGAAAAGGGAAAGAAAACATAATTAACCTATAATTCGAATCTAAAGTCACGTGGATGGAAATTCAAATTCGTAGGCGTTATGTTTTGGCTGTCTGGCAGGAATCAGGATGCACTGATAACGTGAATATTATAGGTTTTCTTGAACAAAAAGGTCAGTTCAATTTATTTAGATTTATTTCTACTTTGTATTTGATAAATATTTGCATGATTGCAAGCACTCTTAAATTTAATTATCATTATTTGAACAGCTGAAGTAAAATGTCACACAAATTCGCGATAATGTCTAATAATAAATCTTTTTAAAATTGACATGTTTTAACTCTGCTTGTAAAGAGTTTATAATATGCCTTTCAGTACTACCAAAGAGAATGCTTAGTTTTCATATTTTTCTTAAACTGTGATGTTTTTGTCAGTTAAAATCTGAGAATTGAGAATGAATTTGTACGATTTCGAGCATTTCGGACCAAGACGTTTCGGTCCCAAATAACCCAAAACGTTCCGGTCCAAGATAACCCAAGACGTTTTGGTTCCAGACATTTCGGCATCAATTCTTTAATTTAAAACTATGAAATATTTAAGACTTGCGTAACTGTTCTATTTCAAACGTAGAATATATACATAACTTGGAATATAATTTTCTTTTCAGGTAGTTAAAGTGTTGGACATGCTCTCAAAGGTCGGAGGGAGGAAACACGTGAATATGTAAAAAGAAACATATGACAGTAATATTTTTGTAAATTCTATAACATACTTTAATCCATACTAAACTGGAGTTTAAAAGCGGCTTTTTAAATGTTCAGTATTTATGTTTACTTTTAATTATACCCCCGCACAACAAAGTTGTAAGGGGGGTATACTGGAATCAGCTTGTCCGTCCGTCCGGCCGTCTGTCCGTCCGTCGGTTTTTTCTTGTCCGCCCAATAACTTAAGATTCCTTTGACCCTTAGTCTTCATATTTGGCATGGAGGTTAGTCATGATTAGTAGATGACCCCTATTGATTTTGAGGTCACAAGGTCAAAGGTCGAGGTCACAGGGGCCTTGACTTCAAAAAGCTTGTCCACCCAATAACTTAAGATTCCTTTGACCTACAGTCGTCATATTTGGCATGGAGGTTAGTCATGATTAGTAGATGACCCCTATTGATTTTGAGGTCACCAGGTCAAGGTCACAGGGGCCTTGACTTCAAAAAGCTTGTCCGCCCAATAACTTAAGATTCCTTTGACCCACAGTCTTCATATTTGGCATGGAGATTAATCATGATTAGTAGATGACCCCTATTGATTTTGAGGTCACTAGGTCAAAGGTCAAGGTCACAGGGGCCTTGACTTCAAAAAGCTTGTCCGCCCAATAACCTAAGATTCCTTTTCCCTACAGTCTTCATATTTGGCATGGAGGTTAGTCATGATTAGTAGATGACCCCTATTGATTTTGAGGTCACCAGGTCAAAGGTCAAGGTCACAGGGGCCTTGACTTCAAAAAGGTTGTTTGCCCATTAACTTAAGATTCCTTTGACCCACAGTCTTCATATTTGGCATGGAGGCTAGTCATGATTAGTAGATGACCCCTATTGATTTTGAGGTCACCAGGTCAAAGGTCAAGGTCACAGGGGCCTTGTCTTCAAAAAGTTTGTCCGCCCAATAACTTAAGATTCCTTTGACCCATAGTCTTCATATTTGGCATGGAGGTTAGTCATGATTAGTAGATGACCCCTATTGACTTTGAGGTCACCAGGTCAAAGGTCAAGATCACAGGGGCCTTGACTTCAAAAAGCTTGTCCGCCCTATAACTTAAGATTCCTTTGACCCACAGTCTTCATATTTGGCATGGAGACTAGTCATGATTAGTAGATGACCCCTATTGTTTTTGAGGTCACCAGGTCAAAGGTCAAGGTCACAGGGGCCTTGACTTCAAAAAGCTTTTCCGCCCAATAACTTAAGATTCCTTTGACCCACAGTCTTCATATTTGGAATGGAGGTTAGTCATGATTAGTAGATGACCCCTATTGATTTTGAGGTCACCAGGTCAAAGGTCAAGGTCACAGGGACTTTGACTTCAAAAAGTTTATCTGCCCAATAACTTTAGATTCCTTTGACCCACAGTCTTCATATTTGGCATGGATGTTGATCATGATTAGTAGATGACCCCTTTTGATTTTGAGGTCACTGGATCAAAGGTCAAGGTCATAAGGACTTTGACTTCAAAAAGTTTGTCCACCCATTAACTTAAGATTCCTTTGACCCACAGTCTTCATATTTGGCATGGATGTTGATCATGACTATAAGGTGACCCCTATTGATTTTGAGGTCACTGGGTCAAAGGTCAAGGTCACAGTCTGACAAAAAAAAAAGCTTTTCTTCTCAATTGCTAAAGAATGTCCTGTCCGCAATGTATTGATTTTGACATTTTCACATTTGAAGCATGTAGAATACATAACTTAGCAATGCACTGGCTTAGTAACCTCAGATTTGGCAGGGAGGTTGTCCTTGAGCTCTAAATGGCCACTGTTGATTCTGACAAAGTGGTATGCGGGGGTATTCACGCCATGATAGTGGCAGTTCTAGTTTTTGTTAAAGCTCTCTTATAAAAAGTTGGCAAAATTGTTCATTATGTTAAGATAACCATGAAAACATTTTTGCTTGTTATTTTTACATATTTCATATATTTCTTTTTTTTTCAGTGAAAATGATGTCACACACGCTATTGGACGCTACAAACGCTACATATCCTCCGGACAGACGAGGGGTGCTGAAAGAAGGTCATATCTTTAAGCATCACACCTCAAAATTCGTGCTAATTCTCATGGATATCTAAAAGTATAACTTTGTGAAGTAACTAAAAGGCAGCAATTTATATATTACTGACAATTATCAAAGGAGGTCAAAATATGCAAAATGGCACTAAATGTTTTAGAAATGCTGTAGAAATATAGTTAAAATACTGAAAATCTGTCATTAATTGCTTGAAACATTATTATCAGAATCTTTTAACTTTTCTTAAAATTATAATATTTTCATTATTTTATTTGATAAGGCAAACTTTGATAGAAATGTGCATACATTGTTTTGTTCTTTAATATTTGTACATATTTTCTTAGTTTCATTTATATCATTGTTTTTGTAATCCCTTTTTGTTTTGTAATTAACTTAATTTACGTTTTATTTTGTTTAATTTATAAAAATTATTTAACCTTGCAGAATTTACTAAAATTGTATGTATCCGCTTAAAATTGCAACTTTTATTTTAAATTAAAAAAGCATTAAACATATTTTTGCTTTTAGTTTTCTGTTATACATTTCATTGGAGGGAAAGTTACTTAATAGAATGAGTTACATTAAATTCGATCAAATCAGGATTAGCCAGAAAATATTTATGACGTGGTGAAACAAAAAAGATTAGGGGAATGATCAGATGAAGGTCAGAAAATGACCAGATTTAGGGCAGAAAAGGGTTAATATTTAGGTCGGAAAATGGTCAGATTGAGGTCAGAAAATGGTTAGTAACTGGTTAGATTTAGGTCGGAAAATGGTCAGATTGAGGTCGGAAAATGGTCAGATTTTGGTCAGAAGAAGGTTAAATAATGGTTAGATTCTGACGTCTACCTGACGTCAGATTATTACGTCAAAAAAAACTTTCAAATCCAACCGTTTTCCGACCGTCATCCGACGTCAGAACCTGACTTAAATCTGCCGTCAGTATGACGTCTTGTGTTTGCTGGGTGTCATTCAACAGCATTTTTGAAAAGAGCATTGTTGTGTGTAGTAAGAAAACAATCTATTCAAAAATGAAGATGAAAGCTTAATAAGAACATAATTACAAATATATGTGAAAAATATGTTAAACATCAAAAGGTTTTCTAAGGCCATTATACAAACAAACATTAATAAAACAATGGTCAGATATTTCATTAAATCAGAAATTATAACATGTTATAATCATGTTTAAAGCAGCTGTACACTTTAATTACATAATTAATATGCCGTCCCAATACAAAATAATTTGTATGTTTATTGACAAATTTGACATAATTATATCATATAATTAATATAAATTAAAGTCAGAAAAAAAACACAATATAATTGAAGTTATTTCTGAACGTATTTTAATTACAAAACGTAAATTTTCTATCATAATTAAATGTGAGAAAACTTTTAAATGCCAATACTATTCTGTATTTGTTTAATATTTATTCATATTTTCAAAATTGATCAAATGAAAAAGTATTTAAAAAACGGTAAATTTACCCATAACCTTTAAAAAAAGATGGCCTATTAATTCAATGCCCACCTCCCGAAATCACCGGAAAATTTATGCACGGAATATATCTGATAAATCCGGCATGTACCGTGATTACGGCGTTTAAACACGGCACTTATCGATCGATCTATTCCAATTGGACACCAACATTGGCACTGATAAGAAAGCGTGAGTTGCTTGTCCCGTTATCGTATGTCCCAGCTCTGGGGAATTACACCAAATGAAGTACATAACACAGTTACATGATATTTCTATTTTTCTATCATTATTTTACCGTTTAAGGTGTAAAAAATTGATGTATTTGAAAATTGTCAATATTCCTTTAATATCTATTGCAAATTTTTCAAAAAATAAATTGTTTATAACGAAAATCAATAAAAATAAAACAGACGTAGTGGAATCTTCCATAATAAATACAGTTATTTTCTGCGTAAACTTGTGTATTTACTTTATTTTTTGTATGGAATTATTCATACAATGATATTTAATTATTTTCTTATAAAGAAATAACTGTTTTATTTCAATTTAATTTTGAAAAAGGCCGAAAACATCGAGTTCGCTCCATTAGGTGAATTCGTTTCTTTTCGTTTCGTTCAAAGCCTTGATAATGGCCGTGTTGTCACTCCGGTATTTACAGCTAAACTCTGGTATTTCCGATAACGGTAAAAACTCTGAAGTAGGGTTACAATAATTTAATAATGATTATGAAATAGAATCTATACTGGAGAATAAATAAAAAAAAAAAAAAAGAATTCCCCCAGAGCTATGTACAGAAAGTACGGCAAAAACAGCGTTTAGCAAGATTTCGAATTCGGGATTTAGCTGAATACGGGATTGGAGCAGTACCTCTAGACGCTTGCAGAAATCATGATCACAAAATAGACAAATATCGTTTTTTTCGCCGAATTTTACATTTTTCCTTGATTATCGTACTTGATTCGGTGTGAAAAGATGAATTAGACCTGTTAAAGTTCATTCCGTTGGGCAAAAAGACAAGATTTTAGCATTTTATCATTCAAGCGCCTTGTCCGGTATATACCGGAATACGGTATTTAGTGTGGTGCTCCAATCCTTTTTTTAGTCACAGCCTCGAATTTGTGAATATGACTATTCTCTCCCTAACCGGTTCCTCTCCCTGACGGTTCTCTCCCTAACCGTTTCCTCCCCCGACGGTTCTCTCCCAAATTTGAAATATGCAGACAGTTCTCCCCCATTTTTTCTATAAGTTATTATTTTAGTTTTGACTTTATCTAATAATATTTCTTAATGAAGATTATTAAAAGAATGTGTTTGATATTAATGCATTTTATGTTTTATGTTTATCAGCTGAAAAGTGTTTGTAAATTTAACACCTTTTTTGGTATTTTAATCCTATGAACACCTTCATTGTGAGAGATACAGATTATTGGACAGTGATTGGACACCTGTAATTATGTTAAGGTCTAGCTTGTAAATACTTATTCATCAACACCTTTTCACAGCTGTTTTAATCTAATCAGCACCTTGATTCTTGAGTAATAAATAAATAAATAAACACCTCAATTATCACTAACAGCAAACTTAACACGTGTGTGTATTGAACTCCTTTTTTCATTATACAAAAGTAAAAAATTTAGCAATTAAAATTCATTAATCATATTTTGCTTATAAATTTCACATTTATTTATTTAAAAAAAAAAATAATAACAATACTGGTTTGGGAGATAAACTCGGCCGAAAATCAGTGTTTTGGGGGCATATTTCATTTATTTGTTTACGTATTCTGATGAATCTTGCACCATAATAAACTTCAGCTCTTCGATTTTCCGGTATCACCATAAAAGTTATATTTAGAAACATTAAACGGGTAATTTTGAGAGGCCTGGAAGATGTGCGAAAAAATGATATTTTTAACGCGCGCGAGTAGATAATTCCGGCTCTTTGTTTTTCTTCTTAAATGAGTAAGTAAAAACGTAAAATAACATGTTTAGACATTTTATTATTTCTTTTTATAATTTTGACAAATAAAAAATATTTGTTACCAAAATTGTTGAGCATTATGTTAGTATAATGAATATCTATGATAACACCATATTTATATGCAACGTACTATGTAACATATAAATCATTTTTTACGTAAAAACACATGCATTATCATTTATTAACGAATAACGAAATATGTAGTTAAAGAATAAGTGATTCAAATTTATTTTTGCTTAGCTTAACAGAGTGAAGAATAAATAAATTTAGTGGTATTCAACCTACACATTAACATATAAAAGGAGCATTTAACATCAATAAATCTTTCAATCGATTACAATTGTGTAATCAGCCATTTTTCTGAGTTAGCAAGACAAAAGTGAGTCTGAATTTCATCTGCAAAATGTATACGTAAACGTCGTCTGCTTTAAATTATCGGTAGTCGGTCAATATATAAAAGTACCCATGTGCGGGCCTCAAAATGAGCATCTGCTGCACCAAACTCCTCACAGTGATTACCTCCCTTGGCAGAATTGTAATCACTGCCTTTACAGACGTCACATGATGATGAAAGTCACATGACGTAACGTCGAAATTCAAATGTAAATATCGACCGTTACATAGAAAATCTAACGTCATTTTTCTCTTTCTGTTTTATTTTTAACTTTTTGTACCTACGTCCGTTATATTTTAACAAAAAATTATCAAAAGTACACAAAATAATGAAAAATAAATTAAAAAGCTAAAAAATATAAATATCCAAATTTGGATATTTCAATGTTTGTGATGGCAGAGATCTCTGTACTGATAAGGGGAGATCACTGCGTAGGAGATTGCTGCTGCACATACACACAACAATGGGATTCCCGTACTTTCTATAGGCATGTTTTGTAAACAAACAGGTAAAAGTCTGTGTTTTTTTTAAAATATCTTACCAATCTTGACAAAACTTCCAGATATTGTCGAATTCAAGCGATAGTATGAGATGGTGAGCTTGATTAGATTAAAAATTCTGATAACTCGATTTAATTATAAAAAGCCGAGTTTATCAACCAGCCGAAGTTATCTCCCCAACCAGTATCTTATAATTATCTTAATCAAGAAAATTATTTTCAATGACTAAACGCATTAAAAAGTATACATAAAAAAAATCAGAATAATTTACTTATATGCTAAAAAAAATTTCTAATTTAATTTATATCAATTGATAATAAAGTTACCAATTTATTTAACATCTAAATACTTCAATAAAATATTTTTTTCTCTAATTTATATCAATTAATTATAAACTTACCCATTTATTTATCATCTAAATACTTTAATAATAATGTAATGATAAAAATAAGAATGGATAGGAACTGTCTGCCTATTTGCAAATATGCAGACAGTTCTCCCCCAAAATAGGGAGAGAACCGTCAGGGAGGAAACGTCAGGGAAGGAACTGGTAAGGGAGAGAATAGTCCGACTACCGTGCATATTGATTGATATCTCTAGCGCACGCTAATGTACACGTCTATTATTTTTGACTTAAACTATCATCAGGGCATATGTATTGTATAAGATACCTTGGCACAAAAAACATCCGTCGTTTGATACATTGGATACAGTCATTATTTTCCCCTCGATTTTACGATAACGAGTTGCCCTACTAATATTCCGATCGTTCTAAAAGTTAACGGTTGAGAAAGTGTAACGACCGAGAGAGTGTCAATCACTTTGTTTGCTCCGCCTCTGTTGAAGTACGGCTCCGCCTTCATTTGTCTGGACTCCTGGTCATGCTGGCATAATTTTAAGGGAATGACATGGCTGACAGACTTGCAGGGGGCCTCCGTGGCCGAGTGGTTAAGGTCGCCGACTTGAAATCACAGGTCCCTCACCGCTGTAAGTTCGATCCTCACTCGGGTCGAAATCTTTCATGTGAGGAAGCCATCCAGCTGGCTTACGGAAGGTCGGTGGTTCTACCCAGGTGCCCGCTCGTGCCTGAAATAATGCACGGAGGGGCACCTGGGGTCTTCCTCCACCAATAAAGCTGGAAAAAAATCGACGAAAAAAGCCCGACTTGAGTGTACGGTCGCCCATATGGGCTTTCCGGCGGCGACCTTAAATAAACGCATTTAAAAAAAAAAAAAAAAAAAAAAAAAAGACAGACTTGCAAAAGAAGCAGCAAAAGAAGCTGAGGAAATGGAAACAGAAGATTCACTCATTATAACAAGTCAAAGTGACATTCGCCACTCAGCTAGAGAATCAGTCCGCATCAAATGGCAGAGAAGGTGGAAAATTGTTGAAACTGGCAGGCATCTCTATATGGACTCAAGTTAAACCCAAACAAATTAACTTCCATGGCTTGAGCAACCAAAGACAGTTACTTCAACTACAAAGTGGATATTGCCTCAATGATTATTTGAACAAGATTGGGGCTAAAAACACAAGTCTATGTATTAAATTGTGGAGACAGTAACACATTTTATAGAGGACTGTACCCTGTATGAGACATCAAGAGAAAACCTGAAGAAAGAAATATTCTTAAAGACAGGAATAAGTGTATTCACAAAAGAACTGTTGCTGTCAGACATACAAGAAGACCAATTCAAAGACCATAGACAAGAGTTGTCAAACATTGCAAATGAATTTGTCAAATCATCCAAAAGATTTTAATTTTTTTTCTTTGCTTTCATCCAAAAGATTTTTTTTCCTTTCAGTAGATTCTATTTCATAATCCTTATTAAATTATATTGTAACCCTACTGAGAGTTTTTACCGTAATCGAAAATACCAGAGTTTAGCTGTAAATACCGGAGTGACAACACCGGTATGCCTAAAATACGAAAGTGAGATTTTTGACGAAAGTGAGCGAAAGTTTTCTGGTTTCCTGCGGTGAACATTTTAATGATGTAAAGATATTTCATTTAACTAATTTCAACATTTTTTTGTGTGGGGGGGATAAATAAACGTTTGTATCAGGAATATAGTTGACAATAATCGATCAATATAGAAGAAGGTCTTTGGAAACTGGGACCGTTGGAGACCGGAGAAGGTCGAACATAAAACAATTATTTCTTTTTAAGAAAATGATTAAATAGGCCTACCATTTTATGAATAATTCCGAGCAAAAAATAAATAAAGTAAACACACAAGTTTACGCAGAAAATATCTCTATTTATCATGGCAGATGCCACTACGAATATTTTAATTTTGTAGATTTTCAGTATAAACAATTTACTGTTTGTAAAATTTGAGATACATATTAAAGAAACGTTGATAATTTTCACACACATCATTCAAGTTTTTCCACCTTAAACGGTAAAATAATTATAGAAAATTAGAAATATCACGTAATAGTTTTTTGTTGTTAATTAGGTGTAATTCGGACTAATTCCCTAGAGGTAAATCCGTAACGTACCGGCGAATGGTATTTATTTAGCTAGGTTTTCGAAAAGGTCAATTAACCAATCATATACGGTTTACAGATCACATGCTCCTCCATGAACCGAAAACAGGTCACGTGCTCCTCCATGCCTCAAAAGTTAAACGCGTACCAATACCCTGCGGTCTCCAGACCGCAGGGAATAATCAATATCACTTCAATACTGATTATAATGACTTAAATGTTACATAATGTTATTGTTTGGTCAAATCACATATATATCTATAGTTAGCTTCATGGTCAAACTATGTGTACATGTAATTTGCTTAGTTGTAATTTATGTAAAATGCTTAGACTGCATGTTTGTTTGTTTGCTTTGTTTTTGTGCATCCCTTTTCAGTTTGCTATGATGCTTTGGTTATATGCTGTGTTTATTTTCCTTTAAACCCTGTATTTTTATGCTATAGTTGTAACCTTGCTGTCTCATTTGTATGTTTTGTTCTAATTAAAACTCCTTATTTTCCCCTTCCATTAGGCTGCGCATGCAACTTAATTTAGTTAACTTTTTTGTTACCCTGTATGTGTCTTATCTTGTTTCTATTTTTTCATGCTATTTTAGTTCTGTACAATTTTTTTAAGTAAGCCAATTTATTTATTTTTTTTAATCTTTAACTATGTATAAATTCCAGATGTTAACTATTACTATTTTAATTAGTTTTTATTTTTATTATGAATTTTTTTATTTATTTTACATTGCTACATGTATCATACTTAAATTGTCAGCTCATTTTATACTACAGTACAGTACAGTACAGTACAGTCATTTATTAATTTTAAACTGTTAGTACCTTTAATACAATATGTACTGTGCATGTCACCTTACTTTGCTTTAATTTGGCATCTTTTTGTATAGTTCTTCTTAATCTTGCTACTTTTATTTCATGCATAAAGTTGCTACTAGTTTTAAATGTTTTCAGATCTGTTATATATGTTAGCAAATATGTTTTATGTCTCTATTATTGTCGGTTAATAGCTTATTAGCTAAATACCTGTTTCTTGTAATATGTAAACCGACTTAAAATAAAGTTTCTTGTATCTTGTATAATAATAAGTAAACAATAAACTAACAGATACACGTATAGTTGTTTTTAAAAAGATATTTTATGTGTAAATAAAATACAATCTAAGATGCGGTAGTAATAGAATGAAACTGCTGTAGTGTATATAACTAATTGAGGATATAGAGATAAACATTCTCAATAACATTGGAAATAATTACAAAAGAAGTGGAAGGGAAAACACTTCCAAAACGGCCTAAGAAGCTCAGCTTAGCATCCTTGACGATGTTCCGGTCTGAAATACTACATGAACTCACGGATTTAAATTACAAGTCAATTAAAGTCCGTGATGAACTACACGAAATTAACCATCTGCCGTGTTTCGCTCTTTCTCTTAAACTATTGTTAGTATTTAGACTGTGCCTTTGTATTCTCAAGTGTTGGGATATTTTGTTCCTGAAATGTTAAGATAAAGCCAATCCGTTAAGATACTCCGGAAATGAGATCAATTCTCTAATTTATTTCGGAAGAAGTAATTAAACTTTTAAACGATCTGCTTCTTAAAGATAAACTGAATATGTCTGAAGTCATACATGTAGGTAGAAAAAGATTCTGTATAGCCTGTAGCCTATAGGTTGTTGTTGAGTGTAACCATTGTTAACCGATCTGGAGTAAAATTTCGGTAAGTAGCTAATTTTTGAATAGGCATGATAGTCCAAGTGCATTTTTCTTAACCATAATTTTGTTTACAGTACTGTAGTGAGTTGAGTAGGATGAAAGTTGCACATGAAAGGTGGTCATCAATTGGACAAGGTCATTTTTATAGGGTCGCACCCAACATGTAGGTCGTTGTTGATGGTCAAAACTGAAAAACTGACAACCTACCAGTTCTTTCTGGTGTTCCCCAACATGGCCCAAGGCTTGGTCCTGGGAACTTGCCTTTTCTTATCTTACATAAATGACCTCCCTCAGGGGCGGATACAGAACAGGGTTACCGGGGGGGGGGGAAGGTAGTGACATATGGGTGGAAGAGTTTGACAAAAACAAAAGAAAAACAATGCAACTGGCAAAAATTGTGCATGTTTGAAGATTGGTGGCCAGCATCTTGTTCATGTGACAAAAATTGTAATTGATGTAGACTCGTCGGACCTATGCTCGCCCAATTAAGGCAATTATTTGAATACTATTTAATACACTTTGACTTTAAAAAAACTTTTTCGAATTTGTTTTATAGCTGGTCATATTTGGTACGTAATGTGACCCATTTAAAACATAAACACTTGCATCTGGGTACTGTGTGCTAGGTCAAACACCACCAAATTAATATTCTGAAATGTTGAAGGGAGGAGACCCATGCTCACCCGCCGGTATATTACCAATATAAAACAGATATTACCTGGAATCATTCATCATATTTTTAGACTGATTTGTTAATATAAAGCAGGTATTTATATTTTGCATTATAATTATATTTATTCAGAGAAAATCTTATTTAGATATTCTTACTATGTAGACTTTTCATTTTTTCAAAAGATAGTCAACTCATGTCGGTAGAGTGTGACTAAAAAGTTTCTGTGACTAAATATCATGTACATAAGTTTTTTTTCAATTTCAAAAAGTAAACTAGAAACATAAACTAGAACAAAAACAACAGTGTGTGGTCTACAGTTTCAACAATTACTCCTCTTCACAATATCTACAAAACCACCTTGTGCTGGTAACTAAACTCAGATTTACATCTGTTTGCACATTAGATGGCAAGCACTTATAGTGGTACCACTTGTCATATCCCTCTTCTAAAAGCTTTCTTGCCTTTTTTAAATGTCTCAGGATCATGAATTTTTGTTGCCTGGGCATACTGATCACTCTGAATAGGATATTGGGAAAAACTATAGTGGTGTAAGACCTAGGTTATTTTTAGTAACTTCTGATAAAAAAAGAAAAAAATAATTATGTTTTTATTTTAAGCTGCAGTCTTCGTTAATTATCAACTAAGTTATTAATAAATCAATGTCTTACCAAAAAAGAACATCATAAATGCACCAAAAGCGACAGATATAATGGAAAAAGCTGACTATTGTGGCGGCCCTGGAAATTGCATGTAGAAAAACAATATGACAGCTGGTATCAATACCAGTTTATGGCTGTTTTAAATATATCGGAACAACTTAAACTTTACAAAAAGTAAGAACAATGTTTATTTGTTATTTTAAGTTGATTTTTATTAAGATTTTATTAAAAGTCACACATGATTCGTTGTTTTTATTAGCATCACAGACTTTCATTTGTACTTAGGTCTTCGTTTTCGTCTGCTTTATTGTGCTAACAACTCCTGTTAAACTCTTCAAAAACAAGGTGAGAAACTAGGACACTTGCAGCATCAAGAAACAACAACACATGATTCAGATAATATTTTTATTCATAAGTTTATATCATAAAAATCAAAATCTGGGCGAGCATGCGCCTGGGCGAGCATAGGTCCGGTGAGTCTATTTTAATGTGATGTGGGTATTTTGTATGTTACCTTTTTGATGCTTTAACATCACATTGTATTTTTTATAGGTTAGATCTAGTGTTTTCAGGGTCTCTCAAATAGTATTCCCCTGGTGTTTAGTAGTAAGCATTTACAAATTAACAGCTTACTCACCAATGTATACACGACCGTTAATAAAAATAATTTCAAACACTGGATCAATTTACTTGTTTGAATAATAGTTTTATTGTATTTTCTGATCGTAAGATCAGTAAATACATAGCTAACATCCACGGTCTAACACAAAATTTCCTAACAGTCCTAACAACGCAAAGTAGTTCTCACTCAAAACTGCTTAAAGACCAGCAATTTAAAAGAAAGAATAATTTTTAATGTAGGCATTTAACGAATTACAGTGCATTAAAAGTTTAGATTAGTCAATAGAAATGTGAGGTTACAATCACAAATTGTCAATCCCAGCACATGTACCGATCATATATATATATAAAAAAAACTTAACATAAGCCGTTTTGAAAAAAATTCATATTTCAACGTCTATAATAATACAATACACAAGGCCAAAGCTCCCCTTACAAAATGTATGCCATTTTAAGAGGGTAAATCGTCTGAAAATTCAACCGATCGTCTGAAAATTCAACCTATATTTATAGAATGTCAGACAAAAATCCCCTTCATGTATTTTTGTATGTCTGGACATAATCCCCTCCATGGGTGGACATAGTCCCCTTCATTTGGAAATTTTGAAGTGGACAAAATCCCCTTAATAAAATTGCTACCTTAGGACAAAATCCCCCTCAGATGAAACTTCTGTTTATATAGTGTGTATGAGCGTGACATACTGCATTATGCTGTGTGGTGATTACTAGTACTTTATTTGGGAATATTGGTTTCAACATCAGTTCTATACTGCTAAGGCCTGTGCTAGATGGACAGTGTTGCACAATTCATTTCTTCCTCACCATCTTTCAGAATTTATAGACAAGTTGTAATAGTGTTCTTCTTTTTCCAACAGCAATTTAAACAATTAAAATGAACACTGTTAAACTAATTAAAATGTTTTTCATACTAATCAATTTAAAACAATTGAAGAAATTGCCTATTCAAATCTAATTGTTATGCAGTTGATAATTTACCACAATTATAATGAACACTGCTAAACTAATTAAATCATTTTTAGCTCACCTGACCACGAAGTGGTCAAGGTGAGGTATAGTGATGGGGCTATGTCTTGCGTCTGTCGTCGTGCGTCGTCAACAATTGGGTTGTTAACAGTCTAGCAGTCACAGTTTTGATTGGATCATCATCAAACTTTGTCAGAATGTTTGTCTCAATGAAATACAGATCGATTTAGAAGATGGGTTATCTCGGGTCAAAAACTAGGTCACAGGAGCTAAAAATAGAAAAAGCTTTTTAACACTCTAGTGGCTGCAGTTTTCATCCAAATATTCTGGAAATTTGTCAGGAAGGTTGTTTTGATGATTTCTAGGTCAAGTTCGAAGATGGGTCATCTCCGGTCAAAAACTAGGTAACAGGAGCTAAAAATAGAAAAAGCTTGTTAACACTCTAGAGGCTGCAGTTTTCATCCAAATATTCTGGAAATTTGTCAGTAAGGTTGTTTTGATGATATCTAAGTAAAGTTCGAAGATGGGTCATGTTCGGTCAAAAACTAGGTCACAGGAGCTAAAAATAGAAAAAGCTTGTTAACACTTTAGTGGCTGCAGTTTTTATCCAAATATTCTGGAAATTTGTCAGGAAGGTTGTTTTGATGATTTCTAGGTCAAGTTCTAAGATGGGTCATCTCAGGTCAAAAACTAGGTCACAGGAGCTAAAAATAGAAAAAGCTTGTTAATACTCTACTGGCTGCAGTTTTGATTCAAATATTCTGGAAATTTGTCAGGAAGGTTGTTTTAATGATTTCTAGGTCAAGTTCGAAGATGGGTCATCTCCGGTCAAAAACTAGGTCACAGGAGCTAAAAATAGAAAAAGCTTGTTAACACTCTACTGGCTGCAGTTTTGATTCAAATATTCTGGAAATTTGTCAGGAAGGTTGTTTTAATGATTTCTAGGTCAAGTTTGAAGATGGGTCATCTCCGGTCAAAAACTAGGTCACAGGAGCTAAAAATAGATAAAGCTTGTTAATACTCTACTGGCTGCAGTTTTGATTCAAATATTCTGGAAATTTGTCAGGAAGGTTGTTTGGATGAATTGATCTGAACAAATAAAAAAAAATTCTTATCAAGCTTATATAATTATAAAGGTTAACTTGATACATAATTATAAATCAAAAACCAAAGTTCATTATTCATCAATTTTTATGGAGCATAATAATACATTATTCATCAATTTTTATGGAGCATAATAAACCTATGAAATAAGGGGATTTTGTCCAGCCTTGCAAAAGCATGAAGGGGATTATGTCCACCCATGGAGGGGATTTTGTCCGGGTATGTGAAGGGGACTTTGTCCGGGTATGCGAAGGGGATTTTGTCCATACACCATATTTATAGACACTTAGGGATACGGATCGGGTTGATCGAACTTGAACCAGCATCCTAATCGAGTACACCTAAAGCCAGATGAATAATATTTTCATAAATCTTAACACATAACACTTCATATACATAAAATTTTAACTGATAAGAGATACATGTAGCTTTAGATGTAATAAAATTGTTTATCACACACCCGTGCCGATTTTGCGACTCCGTAAATATGGTATTGCACGGCCGTGCATATATTTTGACGTGATGTCATTAGCGTTATACAAACATAGTGTAAAGACGCGCTAAATGTTAGCATTATACTATAGACGCGTCAATGAAATATTACTCTTATTTCACCTTAAACGGTCTTTATTTTTGGTATGTGATAAATAGAATATTAAATTTGTGTAAGTTCATTACTGAATTTATTGCACTCGTTGAATAAAATAATATTATGCTGACCAGAGGCTCGCATAATATAATTTTATTCAACTTGTGCAATAAATTCAGTATTGAACTTACACTCATTCAATATCCTCTATTTACTACAATTCAAAGCATGAATAAAAATGCTGTTTTATTTATATTATATTTTTCTTCATTCTGAAAAAGATAAAATGAACATGTACTCTTACAGGTTGATATATATATATATAAATATATGATATGTATTTTTTTTGGCGGGAAAAGAAGGAAATTGAATGA